TATATATATCACAGGAATTGTTTCTCAATTGGCAAACACGTTTAAAATTACAAAAAATATATTGTTATCTTGTATATATAAAGTAAGTAACTTCATAGTTATCTCTCTCTCTCCTCTCTCTCTCTATTTTAAAAAAATATGAAACTATTATACTATTTTAAAATAAAAAATTGCTATATTTACATCTTATATGCTGTATATGTTGTGCAAACTTTAGAAGAAGGTATTGTTACCATTTGATAAAACGCTGCAGATTACATATACATAGTAATTAAATATATATAATAATCAATGTCAGTACATGACAACGCAACGAAATGTTCTAGCAAATCATGACTTTATGGAATTTAACAATTTTTCGTATTCTTCTACTTGCTTCTCAAGTTCCTTTATAGTCTTCGATCTACTTCGACACACATCCCTCATGATCTGCTTCTCCTTCTCTAATTTCGTTATTCTTATCTCGTCCTGTATAAAATTATATCATTAATTACTATTACATACGATATAGTTTATAAATTAATAATGATACTGAGGTTGAACAATGAAATTGTTCTTCCCTTTTACTTTCAAATCCTAGAGATTGATTGCTCCAATTCTGAGTATATACTTACATCGATTATGCCGCTGCTCGTGCCACAAAATTTCAACATTTCCGGCATTGTCTGGCATGCCTGATGTCTCCTATTTATGAGTCTTTGTTTGCATAGATCACATTCTTTCGCACTTGTACGTATCATAGCCATTTGTAATCGCTTCATTTCTGCTTTAAGTTCGCTATTCTGTAAAAACAAGGCGTATTTATGAAATTACGTTTATATTTACAACCGTAATAAATTTGGTGTGGCGTCGAGTGGCTCACCGCTCGGTGCGATTGACTCGCGATCTATAGACCCGAGTTCAATCCCACGTGCGCCCAAACGCGATTTTTCGCGTTTAATGAGCCAAAAAATGGCTCCATCTGGTGATCAAAAGATCTATGATCATCAGCGCCGTTCGGATTCGGCGTTAAATTGTAGGTCTTGTACATACATCAGTAAATTTGGTAATAATTAAAATATGATTTATTACCTTATTACTATACGCTGATAGATGTTCCTGTAGTTCTTTGCACTTCATCTGATACGGGAAACTTCCGCTACGTATTTGTAGCTCTAACGTCGCAATCTTTCCATTCTTTGACACTACTTCTAATTGCAAATCCCGTATTTTAGTTTTCAATGCCGTGCAACTACATTCATCATCATGAGACTTTTCGATCTTGCTGGAGGAAGTGTTTGTGTTTTGCGTAGATTGTGATAAATTATTTTGATCTTTCTTCTCAAGGATTTTGATTTTGTCTTGTAGCTCGTCAATTTCGGCGCGACATGTGTAATACTTGTCTTGAAGTCTCGCATTCTCCGCGTCATGCTCGCAAATAACAGCAGCCAACTCGTCTAATTCTTTATCGAGTTCCGTATTTCTTTCCTTTAACTCATTTATCTCTTTAAGATAATTCTCGATGTCCTTGGTTTTCTGATTTATCTGTACTTTCGTCGCTTCCAGTTCTAATGCAATTCTGTTCTTCTCTTGTAGTAAATCATCATACTTCTCGCAGGCTGTATACGTATCATTATGTCTGGACTTGTACGATGACAGTGTTTCCTTTAATTCTTGATTGTCTTTGCACGCCGCATCATATTGGCTACTTAAAGTAATCACTTGTTTCATCAGATCGGTTTTTACAGCTTGTAATTCCGTTATTCGATTGCTAGCACCGTCCAAATTACTTCGCAAAGATCTGTTCAAGTCTTTCAGTTCTTCCATTTGTTCTTCCGCTTGGACTTTGCTCGTACTATTCCTGACTCGCTTTTCTAATGTCGCGCATTTACGTTTTAACGTTGTGTAATCGTCTCTCAAAGAGTTCATCTCTTCTGTCAAAGCCATGTTCTTGTCATTTAATTCAGTTATCTGCTTGTTTAGCTCCGTGCTCTTTAGCTCCTCAAAATTCAATTGATCTTTAACCGTGTCCATCTCCTTTTTATTTTCCATTTTCAGGGTCTCTATTTCCACTTTGTACTGTTCTATGTTGACTTTCCGCTCTCTAATCTGTTGCTTCAACAACTTGTTTTCGGGCACGATTGTCTCCAAATTAACTTTATACTCTGTCAGCTCATCACACTTAGTTTTCAAAAGTTTGTTGATTTCTGCGATACATAACTCTTTCTCTTCCAGTTCTTTACGTAAATCATTGTAAGTTTCCGTGAGCTGCTCCAGTTCGACTTGCATTTTTTGATGGATTTGATGATTTTTCATTAATTCGTTACTTTTCAAATCAATAATATTCTTCAACTGCTTCTGATTAGCTTCGAGTCCTTCGATGTTACTTGTCAATTCCATGTTTTTTGTCTTAAACGACTCTATCGTACACGAGAGATCTTCGATTCGTTTATTGTATGCCTCTTTCTCTGATTTCAATTCCCTCTGAAATTCCATTTCTTTACTTTTGATCATCTCTTGTGCTTGCTTTTCTCGTTTTTGTGCAATAATAATGGCCTCTTCATTCACCGTGTCGATCTTAGAATATTTATTAAATTCAATTTGCAAATTGTTAAGATCCGTCTCGAATAGGATATTCTTTTCTCTTAATACCTCTCTATCGCGATTACTCTCTTCTAAAAGGTGTTTTAAATGTGTAATTTCTTTCTGTAAGCCCTCAGATGCAATTTCTCGCTCAGACAGGTCCTTTTGAAGTTTTTCTATATCATATTCCAATTCTTTCACCCACGACGATGTACGTTTCTCCGAGTCTACGCTCTGCCGCTTTTCATCTTCGAGCTTTTGCTTCTCTTTACCGAAATTCTCCTGCATAGTTTTTATTACTTCTTTCTCTTTCATCAAAATAATTTGCGTAAATATCTGGAACAGCTCATCCACTGATTTGTCTATAAATTTTTCAGTGTCAGCTTTAGGTTCGAGAAACTTTATTTCCTTAATAATGTTTTTAGAACTGTGATTCAATACATTTTTGAACTTCTTGTTATCGTCGGCTAATTCTTTAACTTGTTCTAACTTAGACTGATGTTCAATTTTCATCTTTTCGAATTTATTTTCTATGTCACGCAGCTTGATCAATTCCTGTTTGAGATAATCGTTTTCGGAAGTGCATTTGTTTATTTTTTCATTAAGTTCCATTAGTCTATTTTCCGATTCTTTAGAATAATTAGCGAATTCTTGCGATTTAGTTACTTCAGAGATGGATAACTCGTCGTTCATTGCTTTCAGTGAATCTAGATTTTCCTTATATTCTTGTTCCAAACGAATGAAATCGTTGTTGAGCTCATTTTTCTCTTCCTTTATTAAATTTAATTCCTGTTCTAAACAGGAATGACTTTTACGTAATTCGTTTGCTATTTGCTCTTTCATCAATTTGTCTTCTTTCAAGCTATCTACTTCAACCTCAAGAAGCAACTTTGCATTTTCAATTTCTTTGTATCTTATAGTAAACTCCTGTAGTTTTTTCGTCATATCTTGTACTTCATTTTCAAGGATATCGGCTTTTTCCAATGTAGTAGTACACAAAAGTTCACTGTTTGACAATTTTTGCAACAATTCTTCATTAACGATCTTCAAAGTATTAATTTCATCTAAAAGTATTCTTTCTTTTTCGTTAATGAACTTTGTAAGATCTGACCTAATACTTTCGTTATTCTCCTTTATCGTCTTGAAATCATTTTGCAAATCATTCATAACTTGCACGATATTTTCTAATCTTAATGAAGTTTTACTTGGGGACTTCTTTATGCTAGAATTTTTGTCATCCGCTGACGTTGAATCCATGATAGTGCTATTTTGTAATTCTTCGACTTCATTACACTTCTCTTTATATAAATCCGATAACTTATTATGATCTTCTTTCAAAATTTGTAATTCGTTATTTAGAGATTGAAGTCTTTCTTCAACGCAGCTGACATTCATGGTCTCCGAAAAACTGGCATTAAGAGATAAATTGCACGCACTTACATTTAAGTCTTCTTTGGCCTTCAATATGAGCGCATCGCTCTTTGCGGATTTGCTATTGAACTTCTTCTGCAAGTTTTCCAATCTACGATTAAGAGACTTTACTTCGAGCTTCAGCATTCTTCGATTTTCATTTAACTCATTCAAATGAGTACATTGTGTACAGGTACCTAATTTTAGATCGCTCAGCTTTCTGTTGAGATTTGTGAGATCGTTAATTTTCTCTTGCAGATTTAAGATTTTTATTTCAGCATCATCGTCTAATGTGGTTTTATCTATTGCATCATTCATCAAGGTACTATTAAATAATGTTGACAAATGCATGGTATTATTGCAAGAATTTAATTTTCTTGTATTATCTAAGTCTTCTATAGTTTCTATTAATTGACTGGATATTTTCGAATTTTCTTCAGTTAAAGCTTTTAAGTTAATTTTTAGTTCCGTCAGCTCGATTTTCAATACAGTATTCTCCATTCTCAGGTTTTCTGCATCGTTATTACTAACACTCTCTTTATTTTTCAGTGATAGTTCTAGTTTATTTTTTAGAATATCACATTCTTGTTTTAATCCTTCGTTTTCCTCGATTTTGTCCATCAAATTAGTAGAAAGATCACCGTTCTCATCTGTTAATTGCTTATGTTTCTCCAGAAGATTCGTTAATTTATCTTTATATATACAATCGTGTTCATACAAAAGCGATTTACTTTCTTTCAACATTTCGAGCTCTTTCGTTTTGTCTGCGAGATGGGACAATAACTCTATATTTTTTGCCTGAAATTCACCGATCTGTTTTTCGTACTTTTGAATTATCTGCTCTTCGTTTAAGTTCACCTCGGGTATCCTCGAGCGAAGAGTCTCCAATTGTTCATTAAGATATGTTAAATTATTCTTGAGCTCAAGCTTCTCATCATTTATCTTTGAGTTTCGCTCGTAAAGATCGTCGATAGTCTGCTGATAGTGAATAGCCAATTTCTCATTGCATTTCTTTTCTGTTGCTAATTTATTGGCCAATTCACTGTTCTCGGTTGTTAATAAATATATAGTTTGCTGCAAATTTTCTATATCTGCTTTCAAGCTTTGCACATCGTTTTTTATTTCATCTAATTCTTGATTTTTCAAAATAAGATCCGCAGACAACTTAGCACTATCTTCGTCTAGAGATGTTTTCGTAATCGATAAATCGTCTGTAACTTTCGACGAATCACAGTTGCCCAAATCGGATTCATTATATGATATCGATTTCGCTGTCTGTTCTTTCAAATACGTATTTTCATTCTGTAAATCCTGAATTATACTTTGCAAATCTTTAATACGACTCTGTAGATGACTGATTTCATCTTTGTTCTGATTCTCCGTCAATTCCTTTCCGAGACTCTCCAACGATTGTTGGCACGATTTTATGGAGTCTTGTTCATCTCTATCAGATATCGAACGTGAGACCTGCGCATCCAGTTGAATGTTCTGTAATTCTATGCCATTCGATTCATCTTCTACTGAAGTGCAATGCTGAACGTTAGCCAGTTTCTCTCTCAACTCGTAAACTGTACACTCAAACTCTTTTGTTTTCAACGTGAGACATTCAATCTCGTTTTCCATATTATGATTCTTCTGTAACTGTAATTCTTGTTCATTTAATCTGTCCTTCATTAAATTATTATTCAATTCCGCTTCCTTCGATTTTTCTTGCAGTTCACGCACTGCATTTTCTAATCTACTGTTTTCAACTGCAAAATATTCAGTGGATTTTCTGTGTTCTTCCATTATTTTCTGCGCTTCTGCTTGACATATATTTAATTCTTCTTTGATTAAATCATTGTACGATTCTGCTTCCTTCAATTTCTCTTGCGTTTTCTGCGCTTCTGCTTGACATATATTTAATTCATCTTTGATTGAAACATTGGATAATTCTGCTTGCTTTAACTTCTCTTCTAATTCACTAATTACGATTTTACATTCATTTTTCTCGATTGCAAGAACTTGGACCTGATTCTCTAAGTCGCAATTCTTTTGAATACATAGCTCCTGCGTATCTAATTTATTTTTCATTGAATCATCCATTAATTGTACTTCTGTCAATTGGTGTCTCAACTCACTATTGATTTGTTCAAATTCCATTTGTTCCTTTTTGATATCTTCTAGCTGTTTATCTAAATCTTGTTCATGCAGCTTATCTTCCTTTGCGCTAATAATTACTTTTGCTTCTATTAGTTGCTCTTGAAGTTCATCAATAGTTAGTTTAAATTTGTGATTTTCAAATTTAAGTTGCGCAATCTGCTCTTCTTGATTTTGCAATTTCTGGACTTCTAGTTGCTGCTCATTTAATCTATCTCTTATTGAATTATTAATTTCGTCCGCTTCTCTTAATTTATTTTGCATTTTAGAAGCAAATACATCCTTTTCTTCTTGAAGATTTTGTAACATTTGCTGTTGTTCCTCCAGTTTACTTTTCATCGAATTATTATTTAACTCTGCTTCTGTTACCTTATTTTGAAGATCAGTTATTTTACGTTGCAATTCATCTTTTTCGGATGAAATAATCTCATTATTTGACAAAGTTTGAACAGATGGTATTTCTAATTCGACATTTTGCATTAACTTATCTTCTAATAAAATATTGCGTTGTTCGACTTCGTTAAGTTTTTTTCGTAGTTCAGATGCCACATGTTCGTACCCATCTTTTTCAGCTACCAGAATAGCTATCTGTTTGTGTAGATCTGGAATGTTTTGCACCTCTATCTCTTGTGCAGACAATTGCGCAATTTTCTTTTCTAAATCTGATATTCTCTGTAGTTCTGCTGTTTGTTTGTTTAATTGATCTTCAGCTGAAGTGTAACGTAATTCAGCTAAAGTTAACTTTTTACGAAGATCAGATGCTATATGTTCGAAAGCGTCCTTATCAGATGTAACATTTTTCAATTGCTCTTCAAACTGTGAACATTTTGCAAGTTTTTCCTGGAATTCAGAAAAATGGTCTTCCAAATGCAGTTGCTTTTCCAAGGTTGTAAATTCCTTAAGCTCTGAATATTCTTCCGACAAATTACGAATTCTATCCCGCAGAGTATGCTTCGGTGTATCAGGTGAACTATCGCTAGTTATAACAAAGAGAATGATTAAAATAATTGTAAAACAAAATCAAATTAATTTTTTCTGTATACCTTATAGTTTGAGTGGACGCCTCAGTTCTGTCATATATGATTACCGTATCATTACTGCTATCATTACTGTAGTTTAAAGGTGACTTGACAAATACATCATCAGTAAATTTTACGCGATGTTTGCCACGACGTGTAACAAACGGATCTTCATCGCTACTGTTGTCTTCATCACGATTTTCTTCACTATTCATAAGTTCCAGTTCAAAATCAGCAAAGGCTATTTGGAATGCTACAAGAACAATATACATAGCTTTAATTTATAATTCAGTTTATAAAAATATTTAATTTGTATAGTATAGAAAATTAACACACATGAATCCATAGTACCAGAGTTGGACCTAATGTTTGATTTCATAGGTGACATTTCTTTGATTGGTGATAAATGCGTGCACGTTTGAAATAAAGATGAATTCAACTTATTAAATCCACCAGTGCCACACCAAGTCTGTCTCCTTTTTTCTTTATTCTTGAACGATGGTATACTATTACGATTAGCGGCAGTAACTATCCGAGTTTGCAATAATCTAATACGCTCTTCTAGATTCTGGTTAATGCGATCTTTCTCTTGCATCTTAGACTCCATTTCTTGAAAATCAGTTGTCCGATTTATCTGTTTCATTCTCTAAAATATGAATATTTATTATGTGAATTAAGAGATCATAAGATCTTATTCAAATATCTGCTCCCTCTTATGTCCTGGGAATTTCATGTCCGACTTCTGTTCGTGCACACACACACAAATTTGTATTATTTTTTTTAACTATTATAATTTTATACCGAAGATAGCCAAATTCAGGGCCGAAACGTTTATTCTATATTATTTCTTACATCTATATATAATTAAATCAATATAAATATATCTGGAGACACGGTATATAATTTACGCTAATAAAACCTAGCGCGTTGGCATATGCTCGATCTTGTTTATTGTTTATTTTTTAAGTCACTTATAATTTTATATTTTGTAAATAATTTATATATGTTCATATATGTAATATATATGTGTGTATATATATATATATATATATATGTTGCGGGACGTCGAGTAGCTCACCGCTCGATACGATTGACTCGCAATCTATAGATCAAAGTTCAATCCCACGTTCACACGCAATTTTTCGCGTGTAAGGAGCCGAAAAACTGTTCCATCTGGTGATTAAGAAAGAGACCTATAATCACCAGCGGTTCAGATCCGGCATTAAACAGTACATCAGTGATGATGCAATGCGATAGTAAATTAACAAGATTATTACAATCTCTTTTGCATTATCACCCAAAGGAACTTCGAACTTGTAATAATCTTGCTAATTTACTACCGCGGAAATTTATATGATCTTATGATTCGCTCAACTGTTTTATTACTAAGGCCAATGTTGATAGTGACAAATTAATATGACGTTCTTTTTTGAAACGTTCTCCAGTAGTACCTGTCAAACGAGCTCCTTTTGAGCCAACAAGATCGACTATATTTAGAGGAAAGTAGAAGACAATGGGAAACCACTTCGGTTTATTTAATTCCCAAGATATCACTATGGTGAGAAAATCATGGCCGAAGTGATCGCCAACAGGGGATCGAATAAGACATATGAAGAAGAAAAAAATATTTATAATATAGACTTACCTCTAATTCTGTATGTAATTTATCTATTTGTTTCGCGTATCGTTTTAAAAGTACACCATCGGACATAACTTCATTCAATTTTGGATCATTTTTTACATTTCTTGCTCTAGATGCAAACCTGTTCATTAAAAAATAAAAAATCAGTTACAATACATTTACATTAATATATGAAAGGACTTCCAAAACGTGTTTTGTCTAAAATTTATAATTTTAAGAATACAAGAAAGCCACAAGAAAACTGCGACATATAGAAAATAACAATTTACCAATCAGTAAGATATTCAACAAAATTGCTGAACAGTTGCTAAAAATATTAAATAAATACATTTTGTTTATCTCTAATTAAAAGGACATAATGCACTTTGTGAATTTCAAGATTTTTCTAGAATTTTTCACATAAATTGATGATGTAGAAATGCTTTCAGAACATCACAAAATAACTTAAAATATAAATTTTTCAACACCAAACACAATAATCTTTAACTAAAAAAATAAAATTTTGGACAAAAATATATATGCATTTTATAAGTCTGCTCCTCACATATATTGAATAACTTAATATAAGAAAAAGAAAAAATACTAACGATAATGTGCATTGAGTTTCATCTAGAGCAGCCGGTGTCACTGCACAGATCATCATCGTCGTTGCATTGCCACCTAAAGATGCTTGTAGCAACCTTGTTAATTTACTATCTCGGAAATTTATATGGTCTTGTGATTCGCTCAACTGTTTTATTACTAAGGCCAATGTTGACAGTGATAAATTAATGTGACGTCCTTCTTTGAAACGTTCTCCAGTAGTACCTGTCTGACGAGCTCTTTCTGAACCGGCAAGATCGACCATATTTAATTGCGAAACTTGTATCACACATTCTGAGTCTCCATCGGCCTCACGACTTTCAATCGTCTATAATAATGTCATTGTGTTGCAACTTTCAAATTTATGGTACATGAATTATTATATCTAACTATAGGCTGCATCCCATTATTCACTACAAGTACTATTATACAATCTATATGTAATTTGAACTAGAGATGTAGATTTATTATATTGCAATGAATAACAAAACACAGCTATAGTAATTTATATCCATTATATATAGAATACTTTATCTAATAATTAGAATAAAATAATTTTTTTTTCAAATATCTCACATATAGTATTAAAGAAAATTGACGTTCTTACAATTCTAAATATCGTATGACTTCTGCTACTTCGCTCATTCATGTTTGTTTCACCTATTCTTCTATTTTTATTACCCTTGTTCATTATTGCTAAAACATTTTCTGGACTATTCGTAACTTCTTCTTTACACTTTACGAATACTTGTCCATTTCCATCTTCATGTACTTTCAAATCTGTTAAGTTTTTACTTAAGAGATCATTGACTTTTTCATTATAGATCTCTAAATATGATACTCTGAAATATCAATACATTGTTAAAATGTTATATTTCTTATATGGACTTTATACAATTAATAATACTGAACAGTAATATTTAATCAGCAATATTGACAGTATGCATCATACTTTTACAATATTACATAATCAATGTTATTGACAAATATTAATGATAGCCTTATTTCAGTTCAGTTTTATGTTCGTAATTGTGCAATTGTACAGAAATGCTGAAGCACTCTTTTTATTGATCTTACACAATAATAAAAAAATAATGTAAAATGCCTTTGCATACTGGATTTGATTTCTCTTTAGTATTAGAAGCAGAAAAGAAATCACATTAACATAGTTAAAGTTTATTTATATTTATATATCCAACTATGACCTTTTTTGACTGGTAAGATATCATTTCAACAATAAGTTGACATACACACAGCCACAACACAAGATGTCATTCGTAAAGTCATATATTAGAAAAGAAAAGTAAATGTTTCGGTCAAGTTATCATCATTGGTCACCACATAGAAATTAATAGTTTACAATATAAAATAATGATAATTGTTAGATGTTAACGTTAGATGACTTTGTAAATGATATCTTGTGTTATGGCTGTATGCTCATTTCTATTTTTGTCTCTTATCTAGTAAATTATTCTTTTACCATAATATATATAAATATATATCTACCTTAATAAAAACTCACGTCCTGGAATATTAGTTATTGCGTCAAACATATATTCGATAGCTAGAGGTATTATACCAGGTTCTTCCAAAGTACCCATCATAGTGTAAGTTTTACCGGAACTTGTCTGTCCATAAGCGAATACTGTGCCATTAAATCCATTTACAGCAGCATCAACAATAGGCTTTACAACATCAAAAACATCATTGTTGTTGGCGTTTGTATCAAAAATATGATCTACAAATGTAACATCAAATAAAAACAATCTGTGAATCTTACACATATTCCACAATAAGCCATTACTTAAGCTTTAAATTTTAAGCTGTAAGAAATTGATCATAGTTCAGTATCAGAATAATCGATTGTAATTGGTCAAGTTCTTATATTAGAGAGCTTGTTGTAGAAAGCTTATATCAAGTTCAAAGGATAAAAGACGAAAAGATGCGACCGGTGAAAATATAACCTCTTATGACAAATGATAGAAATCAACATTGAACGATACATTTTTTTAGTTATACTTCATGATGTATGTGTTTTTATATCCAAAAAAAAAAATGTTTTTAATTAAAAGAAAAAGAGAAAAAGGAATAAAGTAAAAATTGATAGAAAATGTAAGATTAATTTTTCGAGGGAGATTTAGTCGGGAAAAATCAAACGTCTCGGGCACGATTCGAAATTTGCATTCGTACTAATTTTGTACATGTTGACGTACCAAACTCAAATCTACCATCGGATCGCTTTCTGTATTCAGTGTCGGTAGCTACAATGGTGTTTTCATTAGTAATCCATTGTATCGATAAATTCTCATCCTTTTCTCGTCTGATAAGAGGCCTGACTTTAATAGCCACTTTTATGCTGTCTGACATTGTAAGTTTAATATTTCGGTACTAACAAATATTTTAAAGAAGCAGGAAGCTTCGTATCTATTGGCATGACCGGTAAACGCACTCACAAGATCAAGAATATCGACCATATCACCATAACAGTCGACGGAAGACTAAACGCTCGTCAACGCTCGTTGCGTTTCGTTCAAATTCAAATCAGAGCTCATCACGCATGCGTCGACTGTCATTGGGCGCGTTCAGCGGACTCAACAGTTGAGTGAGCGCTCGCTATTATTGGTGCATTCTTCTGGATTAAAAATTCTGATTGGATGATCGAAAAGAATACACCAATAATAGCGAGCGCTCACTCAACTGAGTCCGCTAAACGCGACCATTGGTTGCGTTCAGTAGATTCAACAGTTTTGCAACCGTTTTGTGATTCGCTGATTGGATCTAAAGATCTTTTAGATCTAAAGGAATAGTCCTATCTCAGCGAAGAATCATAAAACAGTTGTAAAACTGTTGAGTCTGCTGAAGGTGATCATTTATCGCGGTTATTTGGACGTGACAAGATGATTTTTGGACCGCACAATAAACATACATTTACTACTTATAGACCTAGTTTACACCCAGCCGTCCAATCCCGATTCACTTCGAAGTGAAGTGAAATTTCTTGGGTGTAAACGGATTAGTTTCGACGGATTTCAATCCTCTTTTCTCAGCGGAGTAGAGCGAATCCGGTGTAAACATCCCATAAATCCACTTCACTTTGAAGTGAATTGGGATTGGACGCGGCTGGGTGTAAACTAGGTCATATTCTGATTGGTCAAACTTGATTTAAACTTCTTCACCATTTGTTCAATTTCACATTGCATCTTTGTCCCATTGCGTCTAGTTGCGATCCAATTGTGTGATGTTGCAAATGCCGCATTCCGTCGTGATGTATGGTGATGTATGTACTTTTGTTTTGTTTTGTCATGACTCATGACATAAAAAAGAGCGCGTAGGAATGCAAAACATTGCAATTTTCGACAATCTCTCTCTCTCAATAAAAAGTAATTAATTCTAACATCATACTAGAGAAGGATTATGCAATAATCATGAAATACAATCATGCACTACGTTATTGTACGCGGAAATTCATAACAACGAAGGAAGACTAGTGGAGAGGAAAGACGTTTGATGTAGCGGTGAGTGATATATAATTTTAAAAATATATAATTTAATGTAATAAAAAAGAATGTGATATTTTTAAGATTTGCTGTACTATGTTATATAGATATATTTAAAAGATGTAAATATTAATATAAAATATTTTTTTGCGCGAAGGCAATAAGAGTGACTATAGAGGAAAATTTATTTTGGAATGCGCGCCAATTGGGGTAAGTGATATTTAATTTCAAATATATAGTTTAACGTCGATGTGATACTTTAAGATTTTCTGTACTACGAGTATAGATATATGTATATACATATATATGAAAAGTGTTATTTTTTCTTCTATGTTAAATAACTCGGTGAAAAAAAATCGTACAATAATCAATAAAAAAGCAAATTGAGGGTAAAGATTCACTTTTTCAACTGCTGTAAATGGCATTTTTGTGTAATTTTTAATTCATGTCATAAATCTTTGTAAAGATTGTGCAAAATTTCAGATTTAAGCGAGATATCCATTTGTGTATGTATAACTCTGTAAAGGGGATCAGTCATATTGAAATTTCAATTACTGATTTTGAAAGTAGAGATTTCAATCTTTAAAATGCTGTTTTAATTTTTTGTCTGGAATGATTTTTCACCAAGTTATGGTGTTCTGAATATTGTACGTGCAATTTTGAGTGTGTTCAAAAGTGTTCCCTTTTTATAGTGTTCCCTGTTCCTATATTTTGTTAAGTAGTATATGTATATATTTGTATGAATATGAATATAAAACATGATTTTTTTCTATACAGAGATGGCAATATGAGGTAACTGTACATAGGAAGAAAAGACAGTTGGAACACGCAGTAGTGGTGAGTGATATTTAATTTCAAATATATAACTTAATGTCATAACAATGATATCTTTAAGATTTGCTGTACTATATATATGTATATATACTTCTAAAAATGTGAACGTGAATATAAAACACGATTTAACGATATTACAACATACATATAATATTCCTACATGACTCGTGTTAAAAAAAGCGCCTTTTTCCAATGAACTCTCTTGCGTTTCAATTAAAGGCAGCGTGAAAATACATTTAATTTGCAAGATCGGTATATTATAATGACGAAATTTGATGACATAAATTTGAGATGCGTTACGTTTGATTATAAAAAACAAAGAAGTATAGATTTCGTCGGAAGGTTTGCTTTTTTCTTACAGAAATCGAATTTAATATTAATCAATTCAATATTGAAACTTATCTTAAGTATTGAAAGTAATAATACTTTTAATACTCCGAATATGTATTCCAGTGTTGAACTTTTAAGGTTTCGACATCCTCCTTATAAAATTTTAATACTAGAAAGTAGTGATTATAACTATAATTTATTTTGGATATTATAAATGTTGTAGTTTAATACTTTCAATACTCAAAATAAGTAATTAAAATAATTTTCAATATTAAGTTGGATTTCTGTGATGGGCGGATAATTACCGCAGATAATCGAGCCAACTTAAAAGTCCCTGACAATTATAATTTTCTTCAAAATTTCTCATCTCTTTCTGGGCAAATTTTGCACCTCGGACGCGTGATTATATTTTCTTTAAGCTTTCGGTCATTCCGTATCACAAATTAGACGGCTCAACCGAGGCAGGTTACATTTTAGGCTACATTTGCAGGACTGGATATCTATATTCTCAATAATAAAGAACAGACACAGTCCGTCTTGCTGTCATTTATGTATACTTTTGAAGTTCACTCCTTGCTACAGCACTCCGTTCTCTACGTTTACGTTTGTACACTTTACGTTAGTAAATGTACTCAGTGGCTTTGTATCTATCTGATAATCGGAAGCGTATCTCTACAATGCTTTCTTGTTTGCTGATTTACTTTGGTCTCAGAACGAGACTAAACATAGCATCTTTTTCTCTTTACTGTCGCCGCCTACTTTTACAAAAGCACTTCTTGTTATGAGAATCACCAGCGCTCTTCGTACACGCTTTATTCTCTCAATTATCTGTCACATAGCGAATATATTGTGATAGTATCTATAATAAATTAAATAAATTCGCAAGTTTAAATTGGTCAGTAACGATACCAATGCAATGGACGGATTGTAGACTAGTTATGTTAACACTTATTTACTGTAAAGTCTTTGTTGAATAATAATAGTTTATACATTAATTTATGTTCTTTTTTGAAGAGAATGTTAAATAATGTTATTAATATATATTTCTTAGATAAATTAATTATAATGAATGATTTTTTTAATGTTTACTAATTGTTGAATATTAAATTTTTATGCAATAATTTCTACATAATGGATAGACAAGAATTGAGGTAGTGAAACAAAATTGGAATTATTTCCATTAATTTAGCTAAATACTCTTGTAAAATGTACGCGTATCACAAAAACTTTCACATATTTCATTCGTGTATTAATAAACTGTATGAAATATGCCATGGGGGATCTCCCATGTAATGATAATTATTATTGGAAGCATACAATTCATATAAAGTAAAATCGATAAAAATTCAATGTATTCAATGTAAAAATTGTATATATAATGAAATATAGATATCGAAAACCCGCAATTGTTATAGGATTATCAAGAAGCGTTATGAATTCATCGCGGTTTGTTGATTTTATATGCTTTTTATAATGAGATTTTGCAATGCTCAAGCACTCACTGATATTTTTATATATGCGAGAGTTAATTGTACTCCATTATTCTCGAGAAATACAACTTATAAGTACTTATATACTGATATAAATATCCAAGTATAGTATACCAGTACTGCACTTAGAATATAAGTACTACGCTTGATACATGTATACTGGCAGTTTGTAAAGAAAGTTCAGTTCCACAATTACTTCTTGTATTATTTTAGTTGTGACGGAGTACTGGATCTGTAAGACGGTGGGGCAGGTAAAGCTAATGATGGTGGTAAGCTAGCGGTACTCGTCACAGTAGAGTCCAATTTACGTGCTTCGTGTTCCAATAATACCGCATCCAAGGATGGATCTTGAGCCACGGTTCTTAAAGAATCGCCCAACGCTTGTCGCAACTGTTGCATCTCTCTACCGGCTCGTGAGCTCCGTAAAACGTACAATTGCCTGCGCTTTATCTCTTGATTGAGTTGTTCTCGCAACAGTTGTATCTATAAAAGATACGCTATTTTATTTATATGGATTTATAATTATTATGATAACGATAAATATATATTATATTACGTGCGTATTCACTGCAATATAAATATTTAAAATATACGAAGCAATATAAATATAAAATATATACCTGATTTTCCAAACGCGATACTTGTTGACGATGGCTCTGTTCTCTTGCTTCTAATAATTTCTCGGCTTGCAGTTGCGCGGCTCTGATCCGTTCTAATTCACCGCATCTATCTCGGCTTGTATCCAATAATGAATGAGAGGAATGCATATAAGCTGATTTCACGCGTATAAGCTCGGCCTCCTTTTCCGCTAATTGGGTCTCCAATTTGCGTATTTTTAATCTCAATTCTCTATTTTCATGTTCCAAATTGTCGATGCTGTAACTAGTACCCAGAAGTTCTATATGCGCTTTCTCCGGACGTTCGTAACTCTTGCTTCGCATACTACTAGTCTTGCTTGCAGCAATTTGACGCTCTAAGTTACGTTTATCAGCTTCTAACAGCTTCACCTGATAATAATTAAGATAAATTTTGTAAATATAGAAAGTTTAATTTTTTTATACACATATAAGATCTATTCTTTGTAAACTACACATTAATGTACACTTGTTCTGGTTAAAATGAAATAAATATACACATTTCGATAAATAAAAGCTAGATAAAAAATTTTAGTGCAGTCCAGTGCAGCGACAGTAAACAAGTCTGTACTAGTATTTGACTTTGCAACTTTTGTCTACAAAGCTTGTTTACTTTATCGTTGAGAGCCTCTACTTTTCCTCTGATCTCACTTCTTTCTCTTTGAACAGTTTGCAATTGACGTAATAGATCTTCATCTTTAGTCGCACTACTTTCTGGTGGCCACGTAGACAATCTTAATTGCGACTCTAAAGCTGATCGCTGTACTTCATTATTAGCTAGCTCATTCTGTAACCGTGCATTTTGATCAATCAGTGATTGATTGGTATGCTTTAAATTGTTCAACGATTGTTGAGCCGTTTCAAGACGTTCAGATAATATTCTACGATCATTTTCGGTATTTGAAAGTTGTTTTTGTAGCTGAAATAAAATACGTAGATATCGATTTACATTTTTAAGGAAAGATAAGTTTTTATTAACAGCGTCTTACCTGTTTGAGTTTCTCATTATTACTTTGAGAGGAAGTAGTAACCTCCATTACATTCTGTCGTAACAAATTTATTTCACTCTTCAGTTCGGTTTCCGTAGCAGACGCTTTCTCTAATGATAATTTTAATTGTTCTATAGTAGATTTTAACGAGGCGCAACGTTCCTCTAAACCTGCCATGGTACGACTTTGCGTGTCAAAGCGGTCTTGTAATTTCTATAAAAAAAAACAGTATTCATGAAATTAACATTTAAGTTCTAAAAACTGTCCAAAACATATTGGCAGTTCACACTTCATTTTTGTCAATAAATACATGCATTTAGCATGTAATTCATCTTACATAACTATAAAATCTCAGAAATAAATATATGCAATTACCGATAAAGTGAGATATGAATATAAATCATTGTCTTCGTAATTATCATAAATGATATACTAATTGATATACTAATTCAAGTATGATGCTCTTATTAAAATACAGATTGCTGTAGGCAATTACAACGCTAATTGAAAGTGTTTCCACCTTACTTGAATATGCGCTTCTTTTTCTTGTAACATCATTTGCAATCTTTGGAGATCACCGTCTAAAGACATTCTGTGCAGTTCCATCTCTGTTGCGCGAGAATCGCTGTGACGAACTTCTTTCTGAAGATTACGCTTTTCTGTTTCCAATCTGTTCAATTCTTGTTTTATTTTCTCTAATTTGTCCTAAACAAACGCAAAATTATATGCACTGAGAAATTGTATGTAGCGATTGTGAGAATACCTCGTATTGGGATTTCTCGTCCGATTCGGCACTCAACTTTATCTCTAAGGTTGTAAGTTTCTCGCATAATTTTTCGCACTCTTCCGTCTTTTGTTGAAATGCAGCCAGCTAAAAAAATAAATGATAATATTAATTTTATTTTTTTTAGTAAAATGCAAGACACGTGTTTTATTATAGAATAGAACAGAAAAAATAAACCTGTGCTTGATAGCCAGTTTGTGTTTGAGTTAATTTTGCTTCCACAGATTTTTTCTCTTCTTGAAGTGTGCGAATATTAGTCACAAGGTTGTTGACTTTTACATCTGTGCTACTTTGATTTTCTTGAGACTCTTTTAGTTGTTTCTTCAAACTACATGATTCTGTTCTATAATCGTCCTATGATATTAAATCATTATTATTGAGGTATCTTAAAATTTTAGCTAGATACAGATTTGAGGGCGGTTTTGTTAAACCATCGAAATAATTATATCGGGTAAACTAGTTGCTAGAATGTCAAAATTTTTTGCAGCATTGCTTATCGTACGCTGAAAAAATATAATGTACCTGCATTATTTTAATTGAAAATAATCTTGTTGATTTAGCTATAGTATTAATGAAACAAATAGAATGTTATTATAACAAGAACATGACATTTCGTTAATAATATTATTAAATTAACAAAATTATTTTTAATAAAATAATGCTGTTGATACAACTGTTTTTCAGTGTGAGATTCTTAAACGTTTTGATGGTTTAACAAAACTATTTTCAGATTTGTATCTTTAGATACTTTGGCAAAATTGCTCTTTCTGTGTAAGTATCAAAGCTAAATGTACCTTTTCGCGTTCAATTTGGGCGACTTGCTGCATAAGCGATCGCACTCCTTTCCTAACGGCTTCAGGATCAACATCCAGTATAACATCTCTGCTAGTGTCACCATGATCTTGCGCTTGATTAAATTATGTTACATATTAACTGAATTTTATCTCAATCAGTGCACAATTTAAAAAATATTTTTGAAATGTTTATTTAATGTAAAAATATTAAGTAAATGTTTAAAAGATGTTTTAAATATTATGTGCTGATTGGGATGTATCGTAAAATAATAATACAATAATAATAATGTTATATAAACATATACGTATATCGGTATATATATATCGAAGTAAACTTTTCCTTACCACGCGCTGGACTCCATCTTCTCGAAGGGCTCATCAATTTAAATGGCATGTTCACGCTTCCATCCATTTGGATACCGGCGATACGGCGGAGCGTGAAACCTACACTGCTCAATTTCTGTTCTACTTCCTTTTTAGCAGTCTCCAATTGTGATAGTTGCGCGTCGAGAGCTCTTACTCTACCTTCGGATCCTCCAAGGCGCGCCTAAGATTAGAAATTTTATTTCTTCTTAATCTTAATCAATATTCGCGGCTTCAATGAACCTGAACATTTTTTTCAATTATGTTGTGAAAAATGATTTATAATATATACTTTTTATAATCTTAAATAATTTTAAGTTACATAATCTTGTTTCTTAGATTTTGATCTTCATATTGAAAAAAAATCGTTCAATTACGTTAACTCAAGCAAAGTAAAGTACATTGGATTTGCGAATATCAGTTAAGGAAATTTTAGAACGAAAATATCGATTAAGATTAATTCTGTGCAAACTGATACATGAGCTTCGTATCTCCATCTTCCTCAAAGATACCTTCAGTTCTTGAAGTTGCTGTGTGGCGTCGGCCAAGCAAACCTCTAGATTGTGTTTCTGATCTTCCAATTTTCTTTCGCGACAACGGCTATCCTCGAGCCGCACCAGCAACTCTTGTTCTCGAGCACGCCATCTTTCATCTTCTTCATCGGCTCGCCCGCGTAGTTTCCCAAGTTCTTGTCGTGTAACTTCCAAACTGTTGTCCAAATCGACTACCTGCGACAACGAAATTCATCGTATTGATTAAAAACGTAAAGAATCATATGAAGAAGACTACACGCATTTCTTCACCTGTTTCTTAACTTGATGCAGTTGCAGTTGTATTCGTTCTCTTTCCTCGATCTCGTTAGCCAATCTGGCCTGCAGCTCCTTCTCTTCATTTTGAGCTTGAGCATTGTTCTCGTGGCATTTTTGCAGCTCATCTTGCGTGAAGCGAAGCTGTTGCTGCATTTGTAACGCGTCTCGTTCCATGTCGCGTACTTGTGCTTGCAGACGCGACCTCTCGACGTCCATGGTCGCTTTCGCGTCTTCCAATGCTAAACACGTATATAGTTTAGCAGCTACGCTGAATCATCAAATATGTTTATATATCTACGAAAAGAAAATAATACTGACATGCTATTTTCTGGTATGACTCCTCCAACGTTCTTCCTTGCTCCCTTCTTTCACTCTCAATGTGCTTAACGTGTTCCCGCAATTCCTTGTTGCTGTTGTTGTATTTTTCTTTCTCATACGTGGTATCCGCTAACTGTCTTCGTACATCAACTAACTCTTTGCGCATTGTCTCATTAACGTTGTCAGCTGTAATAAGTTGATTAATTTCTAAATGCCTTTTTATTTGGAAAGCTGGATTTTTTAATGCTTTTTCAGTACTTTTCTATTACTTATTGTTCTTTTTGTTATTAATAAAGGTATATTTGCTTAGTACTGCTTTGTTTCTTATTGTTTTGATTAAAAAAAATCTTTATATGTTCCATTTCATTTTTATGAAAAAGTTATAAACAATATCGAATTGGATCCAAGTATGTTGTTCCTGTAGTATGGCGGTTAAAGGTTAATATCTATTTCTACCAGTGTAGATAAAACTTTTATCTAGATTTTTATCTGTTTATAGTTCTTTTTTAAGAGTTAGAAAAAAATAAAGACTAAAATAAATCAAGATTAAGTCAACATACATTGGTGAAAATGAACATAATAAGACAACTACGACCGCAAAATGGAACTTTGAGGAAGAAAGTTTATTACCATCTTTGAGTTTTCTAATAGTATCGTGCAGCTGATTTTGCAATCCATCCACTTTATCCTCCGTCATGTGCAGTTGAACTTGCAATTCTTCGACCTCTCGCTGTGTGGACTCCCGTTCTTTCCAGAGCTCTTCTATTTTTAAGTCAAGCTTCATCTTTTCTTCGTTAGCCTTCAACTTTGTCTCGTCTAGCTTTGTTTTGAGGCGATTTAATTCATCGCGCAGTTGATTTGTATTATTTCGTTCTTGCTCAGCACGTGCTGCGGCCTCCCTCTTAACACGTTCTAAGGTGTTCTTTTCTTCTTCTAATTCACGCATAATAGTATCGATCTTTTCGATTAATGCCTGTTGGTCGTGATGAGCTATAGAAAATTTAAATATATTTAAATTATATTGATTTATAACATGGAACGTTGTATACTAAAAATATTGATTTTATAAAGATAATTAAGACTTAATTAAGAATATTTAATTACACACCTATTAAAAGTGCCTGTTGCTTATCATTTTCGGCTCTAAGAAGCGCTTCCTCATGCTGCTTACACAAATTCTCTATGTGTTGCTGCAACTCTTCTATTCGTTGTTGTAGTTGATTGATTTCTTCATTTTTCTCTCCCTCCACTTGTGATAAAGATTGTTGCAATCGTTTCTCTAAACTTATTCTTATTTGCTCCTAAAGATAATGGACAACGAATAAGCATGTTATAGAAATAACATAGATGGATAGACAAAAAATTAGATAGATTAGAAAAAAAATCTTAAAGGTCCATAAATAAATTAATTGAATACCTTTTCATCGCTTATCTTCTTTAGGCTATCTTCCGATTGTCTCTTCATATTAGATATAATTTGTTGAAATTCTGCGATCTGATCGCCGCTCTGTTGCGTAAGTGATTGTTTGATATCTTGCGCACGTTTCTCACTATTATCCAATTCTTTTGTCAGTCGCGTTACCTGTCCTTTCAAGCTTTCTTGTTTTATTAATATCTCTTTCTGCTCCTTCTCTAACTGTGTTTTTTTAACATGCGTAGCTTCCAAATTAGTTTGTGTGTCAAACAGTACCCCTTCTAATATTTCCTTCTCAGTGCGCATTGACGCAAGCTGTTCTTGCAATCTTTGGAATTCCTTTTCATTTGTTTCCAAGAGTACCTGTATGAAAAATTTATCTTATTGTTTTGTGTGTGTGACATATCGCCGTTTTGCTTCAAAAGTGACATAACTAAAAAAATCAGTTTTTCAGAAAAGTTAGAAAATCATTTGACAGCCTGACAGAAAATTATCATCAAAAAATATCGATAAACAGAATACATTCTTGCCTTGATTAAATATAATTTTTATCATTTTCGTTTCACAATTTTAAAAAATCGTCCTTCTTGGATTGTGGTTTTGACACTTTTTTATAAAATTAAGTTAGTTCACTTTTGATGATTGATAGAGTAAAGTTTATTTAATTCATTTGAAGCTTGAAAATAATATTTTTTTAGTTGTATCACTTTTGGAATATAAGGAAGCGATATAACAATAATATATAATATTAAAAAATATAATTTATATGTATATAGTATTAATAATTTATATTAAGTAATTATTCTTGCCTGTTTCTCTTCGTTATCCTTCACAAGATCTTTCAAGTTTCTATTTATTCGTGCATTCATTTCATTGGATTGTTCTAATCTTTGCCTAAGTCTCATGAGCTCCTCATTTAATGTCTCTTTCTTTCGCGCCAGGACTGACAATTGATTACTTAAATCGCTGCGTTCGCGAGTCACTTGACCCAATTCCATTTCCACCTTCTCCTTTTCTATCTCCAGAAATTTAATCTTTTCATTCAATGTAATCTTCTCAGATTCTACGTCAAGTCGAGTTTGTTCAGCTTGCAACAATTCTTTTCTCAATGAATTCAGATCACCTTGTTGATCGATACATTGATTTGTAAGCTTATTTTTCTCATCTGTCATCTACAATAAATCTATGGTTAATATCAAATACAGATTACTGATGATAATATTAGACATTACTTTTTTTAATTCTTCTTGCAATCTTTGCTTATCCTGTTCATGATTAGAGCACATCGCTTCCATTTTTATCAAAATTTCCTGTACGTCTGATTTTTCTAATAGTATACGTTCCAATTCCAACTCAAGATCGCCTAATTAAATTATTTACGTGAGACGTTGATCTAATAATTTATTTAAAAGTCATAATCTGTACATGAAAACATGGAATACCTTTGTTTTTTTCGATTTGAGAGATTAATCCATCGGTTTCTAACTTCTGCTGTTCCAACATGTCTTTGGCAAGATAAGCTTTATTCAAATCTTCTCGCAGTGTCAAAAGCTCTTCTCTCATTTTACTGCATCTATCCTCTTCCGAACGTAAACTTAACTCTCTGGAAATCGTTTTTTTTTTTTTAAATATACGTAATAATTGAAATTGTGATAAATAAAAAATATAATTTATTTATTTACTTTAAGTCGGCATCTTCTGATATTCTACCAAGCTCATTTTGTAAATATAACTTTTCATCTTCCAAATTGTCACACAATTTTTGTAATTTATTATTAGTCTTCTGAAGTTTTTCGTAATTATTTCTAAGAGCCTCCAGCTATAATATAAATCTCAATAAAATATCAATAAACATGTGTGTGCAAACAAAATTAATTAATAATTAATTTAAATTCTACCGTGCTATTAAGTTCCACTTTATTCTTATCCAATGCATTTTTCTCCAATTTCACAGTATCGAGACTTTTCTGCAGCATGTCTTTCTCTTGATCTAATTGTGTGCATTGCGAACGGCATACATCCAACTGAGAGATCAATTCCGCAACTTTGATATTTAATGTCTGAGCGTTTTCTTCTGCGGTGTCGCACTGTTTGCGCATCGCTAGGATCTGTTCCTTGTTCGTTTGTGATTTTATCTAACACAAAAAATTCGTAAATAGGACATAAAGCCCAATCTACAATGAGCAATGTGAAATTATTGTTTCTTTTACAAGACGACATGTCAACGTGTACCTGTAACTCACGTATCGTTAACTGATACTTCTGTAGAGCCGCTCGTACCGCGCTTAATGTACTATCGGCCAATGCTGGTATAGTGTTACTTCTTGCGCTTCTCTTCGGCGATCTCTGCTGAATCAGTGCACTGGGCGACAGGTGGATATGCGGGGATGCCTGTTTAGTATCGGCGTCTCGGCTTTCAGCATCCTGAATCACGGCATGCGCGATGTCTCGTAACGCAGACTCCAGCACCTCAATATCTTCCTGCATACGTACGGTTTGGGTTACCGCTGCCTCAGAAACGCTACACCTTTCCTCCTATATACCGAAAAATACCACACAGTGTCTAAATTAAATCTTACCAATTAACTCTTAAATGCTACTCTGTATAGTTTCGTTATATATTTACATACCTAGGTGGAAAATATTGAATATAAAAATTGATATATTATAACAAACTTTTTTTAATGCCAGACATCGAATATATAATGGAATATAACGGTAATAAGCAACTGTATGTATCTTTATTAAAACAGTTCTAATAAAGTAAAAATTTCTCGGTGTGTTACACCTGGAATGGCACTGAAGGATTAAATTTGAAGTAAAATTGATGCTCACTAAATTACGAATTTCTCGAATAAACTGATCTATTCGATCATCTTTAGTACGAATTTCATGTTGATCGGCAGCATGTTGTTGCTTGAGTGCTATGATCTCTGTTTTTAAAATTGTTGCAGCTTGTTCCTCTTCTTGTTGTTGTATTCTTTGAGATGGCTAAAATAAAACGTACAGAAATAATGTAAAATTTTCACGGGAAACATTGATATACAATTGTCAACATAATTGTAGAATGATCTTACAGTGGATTGCACCGCACTTGCTTGAAGCTTCATAGTAAAATTCGTACTATTGCACGCCGATGTCATTTCATTAGACGACGTAATAATTTCGTTCCGTAGTTTGACCAAATCCCTTTCTGTAGTAGATTTCATTTCTGCGAACAGTCTTTTAACAGAAACAACATCACGCCATAGGTTGAGTAATCGGTTATGCTCAGAGATGTAATATTCATTGAACGCCTGTTCTTCTTCCTTCCACTCCTCTTCCTTAATAGCCAACTCGTCTCTCAATATATCCCAGTCATTGCTTAGTTTTTGTAAATCATTAGTTAGCGCCTCGTTTGTTTGATGAGATTCCTCGAGTTGATCTTTCAGGGACGCATTTAATTGCAAAAGTTCTTCACATCTGTAACAGAATGAAAAATGTCTGTAAAATGTACACTCGATTCTAATATATGTATATCTACATATTTGATTTGGGGATGCTTAAAACCAATTTATATCAAAAGTTCGATAAACTACGATCTTCGTAATTAATATATGTATTTTAAATTTTATTAATAAAAAAATTGTAGAAAAATTTCTTATATAAATTCATATGTAGTAATATTCTACAAATTCTAAAGTAATTACTATCTCAACCTTTATAAAAAAAATTGTCCACTCTCAATTTACAGTACTTCTACATACTTTCGCCGTTCATCTCCGAGCTTTCTCAAGGCAGTATCCAAATCGTGAATTTGCTCCTCGCGTATATCCCGTAGAGTCTGATGAGCAGCCTCAAGCACGGTAGTGGACGATACCGTAGCTGTCGATGGTTTACTAGTGTCGCACGGAATTGTCTCTGCCATTTGGTTCTCGAGTTCCGAACATCTTTGTTTATACTGCAAAACCTAAAATTGAATTGTTAATCGCTTGCCACTGATGAATTTTACAATTTGCGCAGATAGACGTACGTTTCATAACAAAAAAAAATCAGCGATACTTGCTTTAGCTTGTAACCGCGAGACGAGGGCAGCTTGATGCTGCTGAGCCTGCCGATAAGTATCCAAACGTCTTTTGTAACTCGCAGTCTCCTCTTCCAAGCGATGACGGAGCTCATAATTTTGTCTGACTAAAGCGTCCGGCGACAGATCTTCATCACTATTTTGTTCTTCTATGGCACCCCCGCTGCGTGCAGAATCCATCTTACTTCCACTGCTTCGTTCCGTCTGTACATGCATAATTTTTTATTGTACTTCACATAAAATCGTGTTCTATAATATTTTTCTTCAATCAAACACTTATATTTCACTCCCACACTAGAACATTAAATTCAACTTTTTTATTAATTTAATATCGATATGGAAGAAAATAATAAAGGGAAATAAACCGTATATGTACGGAGTAAAACATATTGTTAATAAAAACTTATTTACTTTATATTATCGATCTTTATTTAAAATAATTTTTTAAAATTAAAATATGATAATTCATTCTAATTTAATGTTATCAACAATTATTTTTATGTTATATACATATTATATCGATAATTTATACAAATATGTGTAATAAAAATATAAAGGGTGTATCAAAAGAACACGCGAAATCATGTGCATCTTTAAACTTGGTTAGAATTCTGTTTATTGTTTAGTACGAGTTGCCATAGTAATGGTAACGTCACATTCATTGGCGTAACCAACCGCTCCACCGTGAAAATTACGTGTAAATAAAATTTTTATTAATACACGTTACAATACAAAAATTTATAGAACTGAATTGATAAATAATATTTTATTTTAAATTAAACTAATTTTAGTTAGTTTGATTTCTAATATAAAATATAATTTTTAATTATAATAATAACTATGTGTGTTTATTCCACATTATATTAAATTACAATAATTGTGTGTTAATTATTTTATTTTTTATTATCGAAATATTAATGTTTATACATAATAATAATTAGATATATGACCAAAGACAGTGAAATTATATTTTTAATTAATTTAATTATATTTGAATTAACGGAGAGAAATGTATTTCTTCCTTATAGCGTTTAAAAAAAATTACAAATCTTCCTAGTTTTTTTTATAGATCATGATCGGTGCTCTCGCATTTATAATGCATTGTTCTTTTTTACCTCTTTGGTTTTGGTGGAAGCTCTGAGAAACGGTGGCCGCCGCCTCTCCATCTGTCCTCGTGCCGATAATTGAGGAGTTCCTTTCGAAACTGGCTGCAACACACGCATAATTCCTTCTGATTAATATGATATTTTATATCTCTACTTTAATAGAGAGATAACTTTATCTTCGAGTGAAATCTGCCTTCTAAGTATTTTAATTTAAATACTTCCTGCGTATTTTATGCAGGGTTGACAAAGACTAATGTTTTTTTTTTTTTTTTTTTTTTTAAAGAATAAAACATTATGTTTTTTTTTAAACATATTTTTAATGCTTCAAAAATACGCTTTAAACCATATTATAAAAAAAAACATATTTAAAACATATTAAAAACATCGATAAAGCATGTTTTAAAGTGTTTAAAACATGTTTTTTACCAACCCTGATTTTATGTATCTTTTTTCGAAAAATTCTGTAATTGATATTCCGTTGAATTTTTAAACGAGTTATGCGCTCGAGCTTATCATCGTAATTGCCCTGATTGTAGAATTTTTTTTCTCATTTGAGATACTTTGGCGAACAGATTAACTAATTAAGCTGATAAAATAACAGGATTAATCCGCATCTGTCCAGTTTGATTTTTTGCCTCTAGATCGTTATTAGTTCCTAATAATTGAACCCGCGACCGCCGATATGCATTTCAACATTTTGAACACATTTGTGATAAATTAGCTTATTTATTGATTGTAGTACGAAGACGGTCTTTGCTATCAAAATGCGCTGTTATCGCGATACAAAGACGAAACAAATTGGCGAAGAGGGATTCTAAACATTTTCTATGTTTTGTCTCCGCCGTTACTTTTTTTTTTTATCTCTGCCGTATCATTTTGGGGTGAGCTGCACATTGTTGAGATAATATCTAATTTATTATAAGAGAACTACCAACTACAGAGTCAAAGTTAGATGTTGGAATAATATTTCTATGTGTATTTTAAACAATACATTTATCTCATCTATGACTGCGCGCCGATCACTTTTAGACTTGCAACACAATCAAACTAAAATAACCTACACAGAAATATTAGACTGAAATAATTGTTGGGCATATATCATTAATAATAGAGATAATAACAGAATGTAAGAACTAGGTTTTGATAACGTCAATACTCGGCGTTAATAGTTTATATTTATATTTGGACAATTAAATGTGAAACTGCACTAAGAAAAATTTTGGTTGAAAATGAATGCACCAGAAGGTTCTGATTATAAACATATAAATCAGAATTCTAGTTACCTCGACTAGAATTATTATATAATAGACTTAACAGAATTTTTTTTTCCATTTTTAATTAGAATTCTGTAACAATTAAGTGTAGTGTTGCACTAATTTAAAGAAATTATTGATATAATGACGCACTATCCGGCAATTAGTTTCCTGATTGTATATTGCTGGCGAAACGCAATGTTGATGTATGAACTAGACTTGCGGTTTATCTCGCGGTAGTTATTAGCCCAGGTGTTAAATTCTCATGGGGTGTTGGTAACCGCCTACGATCGCACGAGTAAATGTCCCGCTAGGACGCGCCACGAAACCACATCGCGAGATTTATCTATAGAATTGATCGATTGTTTCACTTTTCGCATCCATCGTTAGTATTGTTTAAAAAAAAAAAAAACTCAGTAATAAACCATTCTTATCACGATAGGACATCAAAAATTGTATGAAATCTAAGACAATCTATAACGTTAAAAATTCAATAGATTTTACGTTCCTAATAATAATCTATCGTAAAAAATTATGATTTGTAAACAGCAGCTTTCGCGTGAAAAAAATATCCATTGATATGCGAACATCTTTCTATGACGCAAATGATAATACGACAAGAGTGACGTGTGATTGATACTCGCATCAGGTTACTGAACGCTTCGAAAACTACAATCTAGGATGAACACGCAGAATTCATTAACCTACGATCAATGGGACAAAGTCTCTACGCCAGGATGACGTTATCCAGTGGAAGTGTGTCGCCGGTTTACGCGGCATGTTTAAATTATCGTGACAACTTGAAGTCGTACAGAGGAGGGAATCTTCATTCGGGAAGTTAAGCCGGTAGCGTATTTGTCGGTGATATCCTGGCGGACCAGGTTAGGCATATATTGATTGGTGCCATTCAGTGCCTGGCAGTGGCGCGAGCTTCTTCTAACTTCCCATTCGCTCAGATGCTAGATACTAGAAGCCCTTTAGGGACCACAAAAATTAGACACGGACTCGCCGTACTTTAGTTAAACGCTTTGCCCCGAAAGGGGGATCTGATTTTCCTCGTAGAAAGGACCGTAGAAAACGAGAGAGCATAAACAGCCGGTTGGTTCACTGTGCTTTCAATTTGCGCGATGTTGAGAATCTAGAAAATTTTTATCATTCAAAAATCTTTAACGTTATGGCATTCTCGCGGCTGTTTCCAAATTTCCAATAAGCTTATATTTTTTTTTTATTAACCCTCCGCCGACAACTGATGTTTTTAATGAAATCGTCGACATTTTGATAGAGTTTTGATAAATTTGAATCTGTAAAAAAAATCAGTAAAATACCATTTGGTTTATATATATATATATATATATTACGGTAAAAATTCATTGTTAAAACTTTGACAAGTATATCAGAATTTTTTTAGATTTTTTCCGAAACAAAAATTTGATTTGTTTCTCGACCCTTATTATTGAGAGAAGAGTTAATTTAAATTTATGTTATCGCGTCAGAGGACAGAGTATCATAATAAAAATGCTTGGTATCATTGTGTTTCTTAATGTTTGGCGTTTTGATTGAACAAAATTGTTCACAATACGTTCATTTTTGTGAAAGTAATAAGCAATCGAATTGAATTAGGTATACCATGTATCAGTGTGTTCCCGTAACGAGACGTTTAAGAGTTCAAAATTATTTTATTGCAAAATAAAGGTAACTTCGCTGTATCTATTTATCTGGAGTAAGTGTTTTATGTCGGTCTTTTGTCTTGTAAAATTATTCTAAAAGAGAGGAGAGCGCAAATATCTCTTTTTGGTATTGCGATATATCGTTGACCGACATAAATGCGCGCATTTATAAAAACATGTTCCGCCGCTTATTGGAAGCGCACGTGCTGCGCAAGGAACGTAGTTTTAACATTGGACTTTGAGATCAGTAATAATTTCAGATAATCGTATTTGTCACGAGTGACAAATGAAGTGCGGAAATGTCTGACTCAAAGTACAAAACTTCATTTCGGTATCAATGGCGACCGAGACTGGAGAAGCATCTTCATTTATTATATACACCACATGATAGCGGATATCTCGTAGGCAATAGCATATTTTTTTTTTTTTTTTACGAAAGAGGAAGACACAAAAATATCGGTTTTTGAGTCTGATCACTCGAGGTTCTCGTGCCGATTGATAGCCGCGTTATAAGAAGGTCGTTCGAAGTTGTTCTAATGAGCGAGAATCATATGTAAATTCCAAGTTTGTCATGGAATCGTTTTTTTTTTCTTCTGCCATGAAATTTCCGTCGCGAGACATCATTGAGGGGCAGCAATCGAGGCGGTTCGATCCGTGTCTGCCTGCCTGTATCTAACAAGTAGGTTTTTGCAGACTATGGCTTCGTGGGTCAGCGAGACCGTATCGTCTTTTCCCTCTTTCTTCTCGCTTCGTCCCGACGATAAGCACGCCGTGGAGAACTGTGCACGGATTTTTACCAGAATGTGGGGGAGTCCGTGTGCCTGTGTTCTCTTTCTTCCTCTTTTTTTTTTCTCTCTCTTCATTTTTTCCCTTTCCATCAAGACGGGATAAAGTCAAGAACGGAATATCGAGAAATTTTACGTAAAAAAACGCGAAGACCGAATTCTTTTCGACGAAAGTCACGTAATCCGTTGTGTATGAATTTCATGGAATAATCGGAAAACGCGGATTTCGGCGTTATGTCGATCGAGTACGAGGAAAGTAGTTAATACGCGAACGGGGGATGATGAGATGTCTGCAACCGTGTCGCAATGTGAAGAATTTCGCAACGACGCGCGGACGTTTGTGGTCACGCAGTTTCGTAAGGGATGGTCTATCTTTATCCTTGATTATGTGCAGATTGCACCAATTCTCATTTTAAGTTATCGTATATGTGTCACGAACTTTTAAAAGATCAATCGAGAGCGCCTCTCGGTTTTATTATAATAAAATCGAGAGGCACTCTTAGAGGACTGATCTTCTAATTCCGTGATAACTCCCGATGGCACGCTATCACTTGCTGCGTACCAAGGGAGAAAAATGAGAGATTGTGGAAAATGTCTATGCTGCATATACATATGTAGACATATCGTACGTGATTTTGTTACGCGTCAAGTGTCAAAAATTAAAAAATCAATCAAGAACTCTCGATAACACACCAAGTGTCCTTACGATAACCGCTTTTGGAATTTCTGATAACATTTCAAAATACTTCTATTAATGGTCACGATTTTTATCCAGCACCTTTGTGATCGACCTCTGTTTATTTGCGGATTTTATTGCACCATCGGCACAATTTCGTAATGACGTGAAGTCTAGAAAGAAAGGAACAAAAAAGAGAGGTAACCGTTTCGGAAATTACTGGTCAATATCGCCTGATTAACATTCGAAATCTAATTACTAAAATATGATGTAAATTACGTTAACTTTTTTAACTCTCAGTAGAGTTAAAAAAGATCTTACATTAACACATAAAGTCATATCAAATATTAGAGTAAGTTTTAAATAAAATATAATAAGAAAATAGATTACATTTGGTGTGTCAAATATAAAGCCGAACAAATCATTTGTTATTTATATTTGACACCAAATGTAATCTATTTTCTTATTATATTTTATTTAAAATTTGTTTCTCTAATATTTGCAATGACTTTACGTGTTAATGTAAGATCTTTTTTTGTAAAAACTGTTTATTTTTTAAAGTTTTTTACCATATTGAGCACAGACGATATAAACGTGTACTGAATTTGAACAGATTAGCATAGAGTTAATCAAACAAGAAATCGTATAAGAAATAAAGAATAATAAGAAACATATGCTT